AAATATATACGGACCTACTTGAGGCCTCAAATCACACATAACAGTATCAAAACTACGAATCGCACCTCAAATCAAACTTAATGAACTTTTGAACTTTCAACTTCCAAAACTCGTACTGAACCATATCAAATCAACTCGGAATGACCTCAAATTTTGCACACAAGTTCCAAATGACATAACAAAGCTATTCCAACTCCCTGAACAAAAATCTGAACCTGATAGCATCAAAGTCAACTCCCGATCAAACTTATGAATATCCAAACCTTCAAATAGTGCTAAAACTTTCTAAAAATATACAAATGCATATTTGAGTATACGCCCAAGCCCAAAATCACCATCCGTACCTCCGAAACCATCAAAACTCTGATATGAGGTCAAATACACCAAAAGTCAAACTTGGTCAACTCTTTCAACTTCAAGCATCTCAAGTGAGAATCATCCTTCTAAATCAATCCCGAACCAGTCGAAAATAGATACTGACGATACATGCAAGTCATAATATATCATACGAAGCTACTCATGACCTCAAAGGCTCTAACTGCCGAACTCAATGCAAATGCTCAAAATGACCGGTCGGGTCATTATATTCTCCCCCATTTAAATATACATTCGTCCTCGAACGTGTCAATAGTCATTCCAAAGCCATCAAATCACTGCATGAGCTCACCATACACATACCCGTGGGTGATCCCACATCACCCCAATCCATGTAAGCCTGACAACATAACTTAACTGAAGATTTTACTTCATTCTTAACTCATAAACCTTATAACCCAATCATCAACATCTGAAACTCATCATAAGACCTGAATGGTGCATTAATACAATGTACAAGCATGACCAGGCTGAATCAAGCCACAACCTTAACCCAAGGTGTGATCACGTGATACTCCACATAACTCAGATACCATGTAGCAATAACTTTCGACCACTATAACTGCCCGACAACAATCTCAGTACCGGTAATACACTTCATATCAAATAAAACCTCATTTTGGACCTTCGCAATACTACTAGTGATAAAAGAAAAATGCAGAAACTTAAAACCACACACATGACATCAACAATTCAAGAAGCTCTCTTATCTGACAAGGACCAGTGCCCAATTTTGAGCAGAAATATGGTATCATTATTCCTAATATTCCTCATCCCAATATGATAGTGCAAATCTCAAGTCTAGAAACCTTATCTTAGCCAATACATGTGTAACGACCCGACCAGTCATTTTGTGTTATTATACCCCATTTTCCTTTTTGATGCTTCACACATGTGTAATTTTGGCTTTATGACTTACGGGGTTGATTGATTTTATTCCAGAAAGATTTGGGGTTGATCTAAACCATATGGTTCTTGGCTTAGAAGCCTAAGTTAGAAATGTTGATAAAACTTTGACTTTTGTGAAAATGATCCTGGAATGGTATTTTGATGGCTCTGGTAGCTTCGTATCTTGATTTTAGACTTGGTCGTATGCCTAGAATCGAATTCGGAGGTCCGTAGGTTGATTTGTATTATTTTGCCGAAAATTGGCAATTTGAGGTTAGAAGTTTGATCATAGGTTGACTTTCGGCTATCGAGTTCAAAATTTTATTTTGGGATTGGGAATCGGTCCATTATGCTATTTAGAACTTGTCTGCAAAATTTGGTGTCATTTGAGTTGATTTGATAGGATTCAGACGCTTGGTTGCAATTCTAGAGATTTTGAACTTTACTTCGAAATTCATGTGTTTTGATGTCCGATACATAGTTCTAGATGTTATTTTTGTGTTTGAATCACTCAAGTGAGTTCGTATGAGTTTTTAGACTTGTGTGGATGTTTAGTTTGGAGTCCTGAGGGCTCGGATGAGTTTCAGACATGATTCAGAATGTTTTGAACTGAAGTTGAACTTCATGGTGTGTTAGTGCTCTGATGTCGCAATTGCGAGCACCATCCTCGCATTGCGAACATAGCCAGGGGGATCAGGTGTCGCAATTGCGATACGTGGTTTGCAATTGCAAAGTTTGGGTTGGGTAGGATAGTTCGCATTTGCGATGATTACTATCACATTTGCGATGGGAACATGGTTCGCATTTGCGATCCCACTGTCTCATTTGCGATGCTTCCCTTGGTTTGTCAGTGCCGCAATTACGAGAAATTATTTGTAATTGCAAACCCGGTGTCACAATTATAACATCTGCAACTGAACAAAAGGTTAGAAAGCCAGGATTTCATATTATTTTATCATATTTTAGAACCCTAGGCTCAGTAGGAGGTGATTTGGAGAAAGGATTTTCATCTACAAACTTTGGATAAGTGATTCTAATAAATGTATAACTATATTTCATGATTATATCTTAGATTTAACATCAAATTTATGAGAATCAAACAAAAAAATTGGAAAATTTTGTCAAGTTTTTGAAAAATGAAGAATTGAGTTTTGAGGGTCGATTTGGACTCGGAATTGAAAACAAAACACATATATAGACTCGTGGGGTTATGAGTAGTTGGAATCTACCCTTGGACCCGATTTTGACCGGGCGGGCCTGGAGTTGACTTTTGTTGACTTTTTGGAAAAAGTGTAAAGATCACAACTTTATGCCTTTATCTATTGTAATTGGTTTATCTTGCATTGTTTGATGTTATTAAGTCAATTTTGGTTATATTTGAGCTGTGTGGAGGCAAATTTTAGGGGAAAAGCTATTTTCGAGCATTGAGTTGGCCTGGTTGAAGTAAGCATCTTGCCTAACTTTGTTGGGGGGGAGATAACGTCGTTCCTCATATTCCCTTAATCGT